ACAGGGCCGCAGCTGCGCGCCGGGCGCCTCTCCGGGGGCTCGCGCCGGACGCCGGCTCCGGCCCGCAGCGCGAGCCCCGGCCCTCGCTTCCTTCCTCCGCCCCCGCGCGCCCGGCCCCGCTCTCCAGGCGCACACGGACTCGCACGTGGCCACGCCGGACCTTTTCCTTCCATGTTTGTTTTATTTCCAGAATGTTTCAACTGATGGTGTTTTCTTGTTGTTGTTTCRAGTTGCATTTTCCTTGGCTTTCCACTCCATCCCACCCCATCGAGCCAGTGCAGCAAGGGGAAGAAACGCTCTTGAGATGCGTTTCCCTATGGTGACGAGCGAGGAACAAATCCCCGAGCGCTCCTGATGCCTCGAGGTCAGGGTTTAAAAGAGCTGCCCATCACCCTCTAGAAACCCGGGTCTCTCCCCAAATGTTGGGGACACTGTCCTCGTGCCACCTTCTCTTGGGAATGATTCCAGGTTGGAGCTGGGATTTCTTAATAAATTACTAGGTGCAGCGTCGTGGTGGGAGGTTTTGGAGATGGAATCCTGAAGGGACGGTGGGTGGGGGGGTCCCTTGGCCTCCTTTGCTCTTCTGCTCCCAGGGGATCTGCTACCCACTCTGAAGGGTTGGGATTGTGGGGACCAACCCGGAGGGTGCCGGGCGCGGGATCCTTCCCGCAGAAATGGARTTATTTTGCTTCCTAAACCCGCTAACGGACCTGGCCTTTCCACAGGGAGCGGCGCTTTGGATGTGCCAGCGGCAGCGGCGGGCGCCCCGGGGCCCCAGGGGGGGACACGGCAGCCGGGAGGAGGGAGGCGGCGCCGGCCCGCGCCGGGAACGCTCGGAGCGGCGTTTTCCAGAGTGTCCTGGAGGGGTGGCGAGACATCCCAGCGCCGGAGAGCGAGGAAGGCCAAAGCTTTACTGAGCATCGGGCACCCGGGGGCGGCGTGCGGAGCTGGGGCAGCCGGGCCGGCGGCCGCCGCTGCTTAGACCTTGCAGCTCCACAGGGCGAACGGGAAGAAGATGTAGGAGGTCGACCAGGCGAGATAGTAGAGGGAGAGGACGGCGGCGGGCGAGAAGAGGACGGCGGCGACGCCTGCGGGGAGCGGCGGCGTGAGCGGCGTCCCGCGCGCCGCCCCGCGCCCGCGCGCCCCGGCCCGCTCACCTCCGGCGTAGACCAGCTTCTTCCAGAGCTGCGACTCCAGCACCTTGTCGTGCGGGTAGAAGCCCTGGTCCACCATGAAGAGGATCATGACGGCGGCGGCGACGCGCAGCAGCGTGACGTGGCCGCCCGTGAGCAGCGAGGTCCCCGCCAGCAGCGCCGAGGCGTACGGGCACGGCAGCCCGCGGTACGTGAAGGGGATCCCTGAGAGGATTTGCCCGAAACGGGGAGGATTAAGCCCAAACCGCCTTCCCTAGCGGTTTTAGCCTCACCACGAGCACACGCTGGAGAACGCTGCTGCCGCGTGCGTAGGGAAAAGGACGGGGCAAGAGCATCACCGCGGGGCCGTACCGCTGGAGAAGAAGCAAAGGCGCGCGAGCACGGCGAGCACGTAGGCCACGGCGAGCAGCCCGTCGAGCAGCCCGCGCGTGCGCAGCAGCAGCGCCGTGGCCAGCCCGAAGGAGGTGAAGTCGGCGAAGTCGTCCAGCTTGGCGCCTGCGGGGAGCGCGGCGAGCGGCGGCGTGAGCGGCCGGCGGGCAGCCCGGCCGCGCCGCGTGCCGCCNAGTCGGCGAAGTCGTCCAGCTTGGCGCCTGCGGGGAGCGCGGCGAGCGGCGGCGTGAGCGGCCGGCGGGCAGCCCGGCCGCGCCGCGTGCCGCCGAGGGGGACGCTCACCCAGCGCCGAGCAGGCGTCGAGCTGCCGCGCCACGGCGCCGTCGGCCAGGTCGAGCAGGAAGCCCACGAGGAGCAGCCAGCACGAGTAGTCGTAGTGCCTGGCGGGAGCGAGCGCGTCACGCGCGGCCGGGCTCGGCGCCGCRCTCCTTTCTCCCCTTTCCTCCTCGTCCTGCAAGGAGCGGCGGGCGCGCTTACCCGTTCAYGCTGCAGAGCACGGAGGAGAGCCCCATGATCAGGTTGGCCGTGGAGAGCGCGTTGGCCGCATTCTTGCGGACAAACTCCAGAGCCCGCGCCCGGCTCGCCTGCTCGCTCAGCACCAGCTTCTTGGTGTGCTGGAAGGCACCTGCGAGCCACGAGAGCGGCCGTGAGCGGCGCCCCGCGGCCGCTGCGAGCGCGGCGCCGGCGGCCCGCGTGCCCCGCGCTGCCGCCGGCTGCTTCTCCTTCGCTCCCGCAACCCGGGAAAGCCTCCGCAAGCCAAAGCGCGGCTTTAGCTGGGGAGGGAGCGGGGCGCGACGGGAGGGAGAACGGGGAGGACGACAAATAAAATTAAAAAAAAGAAAATAAAAACAGAAAGGAAAAAAAAAAAGAGAGAAAAACCAAACCCAAGCTTGGAGTAAAAGCCAACCCCCGTGTTAAGCTTGCTTTGCTCTTATATACCTATAGGGCTACTCTTTAGAGAAAGTGTTAAGGGTCATGTCCTACTAGTGTGTTTTGCGCCCTGCCTTGGACGTGTTCCCAAAGCCAGGCAGGTTCATGAGATGCTTCATCTGAAAGGAAAACAGCAGGTCAAAGCAACACAGAAAGCCACATCGCACCGCGGGGAGGCTCCCCTGGCCTCCGCGGCGCGGCCCGTGCCGCCGGCGCCGCCAGGAGCGAGACGGGACGGGACGGGACGGGACGGGACAGGGAGGTTCTTTATTTTTTTGTGCTTCCTTCTCGCAGCTCCCGGGCCCTCGGCGCTGGCGGGAAGTGCTGGCATGAGGCCGAACTTTGGCCGCCCTGCCCCGCGCCGGCTCCGCGGGCGAGCGAGGAGCAGCGGCCGGCACGAGCGTGCCGCGACTGCGGTGCAAAAGTCCGGCCTCCGCGCTCGGGTGGCCTTCGCGGCGGCTRATCCCGCAGAGCGGGGCCCTTAGGGGCAGGAGCCGCTCCGCACGGGCGCCGGGCGGCAGAGCGGGGCCGCGCGCGGCGCTCGCGGTGCAACCGGGGCCACCGGCCTCCCAAGGGCGCCTACGGCGGCAGCGGGCGCTGCGCCGGCCGGCGCCTTCCCCCCAAAGCCTCCCCCCATGCAAGCGCGGTGCTCGGTCACCTTCTCTGCGCCCGGCGGCTTCGCGCCRGGCCGCGCGCTCGCAGCTCGGCGCAAGGGTGAGTTGGCTAAAAAAAAAAAATAAAGTGGGGGCGAAATCGCCGCTCGAGCCCCCCTCCCTCCGCGGCCGCCGGGGCGGCCAAATGAACCAGGTGCCGCGGGGAGCGCGGCCGCCTATTCCGGGGGGGTGACGGCATCGCCGAGGGGACGGTCCGCCCCGCCGCGCGCTCCGGCCGCCCGCGCGTTCCCGGCGCTTTCGGCGGCGCTGGGGCCCGGTACCGACCCCTCCACGGCCCGCGGGTCTCGCCGGCGCCTGCCGGGTCTCRGTGGTGCCGGCGGCCGCTCCCGGCGTCACAATGGCCCCGCGCGGCCATTCCGCGGCCTCCCGGCGCCCCTTCTCCGCGCTCGCGTTCGCCGYGGGCAGGCGCAGCTCGCCAGGACCTGCGCACCCCTCGGGACCCCCATTTACGAGAGCGGAAAGGGGCTCTTGGCCTCCTCCGTGGCGGCCCGTGCTGGAGCGGCCGCGGGACGGGGCTCCTCTTCGTTAGCTCCCACCTAACGAGCGTGCCTGACCTGCGGTCGCCTTCAGGGCTGCGTTGCCCCAATTCCCTCTCCCTAAGGGCATYGCCCGGAGCCGCCGAGCGCCCTCGCTGCCTCCTGCGCTGCTCCTTCCCCCTTGTTCCCCGTGGGGAGATGCCGGCGGGACTCACCGACCGGCGGCGACACCATCCACATGGCAGCGGGCGCGCGGCTCGGCGGGCAGGTGCGAAGGGGAGCGCGCGGGCAGCGCGCGGGCGCCGCATTATATAAGGAAAGGCTCCGTCGGAGCCGGCTGAGTCACCCCGCGGGGGTGGGTCCGGGCAGAGGCCGCGGGGGCTTTCGGAGGCTCCTGGCACCGGCAGCCACCGGGGAGGAGCCGCCGGGGGCCCCACGGTGGCGCCGGGAGGGACACGCGGCTCCCCGCCGGGGTCACGGGCGGTGGGCGCCGATAAGGAGCGGCCCGGGGGGCTCGTGCCGGCGGCGGTGGCGCCCGGCCAAAGGTCCCGGCAGCAGCGAGGGGGCCATAAAAGTTGATAGGGCCCCGCCGCGAGCGCATGATCGCCCCGGGGATTTTCCACTGGGCTCTATCTCGCCCTTCGGCCGGGCCGGCGGCTCTGCGGCGGGGGGGGGGTGCCGGACGCCTGGGCCCCCTCCTGGGTGCCCGTCAAAGGGGTCTTTGTTCCCCGGTTGCGAGGCGACGGCGGCGGGAGGAGGCGGCGGGCGCCCTCAGGGATTTTCCACCGGCGCGGATTGGCCACGCTTGCAGCCGCGCTCCGGGCGTCCCCGTGGGACCTGGGCGCTGCTCCGAGCGCAGCCGTCCGGCCCGGCGGGGCTCGGGCACCTCCAGGTGCGCCCAGGTGCATCCAGGCTGGTGTCCCTGTGACCATGGTGCCTGGGCACGTCCATGTGTCCATGCCCTTAGTGTCCAGGCATGCCTGTGCCCATCCCCGTGGTGCCCGGGCACGTCCGTGTGTCCATGCCCTTAGTGTCCAGGCATGCCTGTGCCCATCCCCGTGGTGCCCGGGCACGTCCGTGTATCTGACCCCAAGGCCTGGGAGTCTCCAAACCCAGCGCAATTCCTGGGGCTGCCGCATTCCCGGTGTCCCCGAGCCCTGCGGCTGTAGGGAGCCGGAGTGGGTGGGTGCCGGCASGGGTGCCCACCCGGCTGGTCGGGCTGCTCCTCCAGTGCCACCTGCTGGCAAAGGGAGCCGGCCTGGCCCAGGCCGCACGTGGGCCGCGCCRGCAGCGCGCTTGCAGCGCCCGTGCGCCCGCATGGGTGTGCACTCCCGTGCAGCTTGCGCACACCCAGCGCTGCCTGCACGCACATCTGCAGGTGCGTGCAATATTCAAATGCATGCAATAGCCACACATGTGCAATATCCATGCACGTGCAATATCCATGTGCGTGCAATATTCAAATGCATGCAATATCCACATATGTGGAATATCCACACATGTGCGATATCCATGCACATGCAATATCCACATATGTGCAATATTCACATATGTACAATATCCATGCACATGCAATATCCACATGCATGCCTCTGCTGTGCATATGCACGAAGCGTGCATGCACGCGTGCAACCCTGCAGCATGCACGGGCACAGCTATGGCTCTGCATGCATCCTTGTGCAAGATGCATGTGCTTGCACGGCCGTACGTGTGCTCACAGACACACAACGTGCCCACACCGCTTGTTTGCTGTTGCGCTGTGACACAGAGCACATGGCAGTGTGGAGCCACAACTGTGATTTATTCATACTGCTGGTGCTCAGTTGCTGCTCATGATCTGCAAGAGAAGCGAGTGGCACTCAGGAGGGGTGGTGCAAGCGCCTGTCCCCACACACTCGTCCCTGTCCCTGTCCCTGTGCTTGTCCCCATCCCCACGCGCTCACCTCGTTGATCCAGTCCTTGAAGGCGGACACGCGCGTGAAGACGGTGGGTTTCTTGGGCGCGTTGCAGCCCAGCGAGGACACGAAGCTGGCGACGCCGTGAACCTCCCAGCCGCCGTCGGCCGTCGGACAGTTGAGGGGGCCGCCCGAGTCGCCCTGTGGGGACGGAGGCGGCGTGAGGGCTCCCGTGGGCACCCGCGTGTCCCCGCCGTGTCCCTGCTCCCGCGGGTGGCACTCACGTTGCAGCCGGACTGCTCGCCGCCGCCGGCGCAGATCATGGTGCTCCGGACGGCCARGGCGCCCCACCAGTCGGGCTGCGTGCAGCGCTCGTGGGCCACCACGGGCAGCAGCGCCTGCTGCAGCGTGTCCGGCAGCGGCCCCCCGGCTGCGGGCGGGCGGCCGTCCGTCCGTCTGGCCGGCTCTCCCTGCCTCTGCCCTTGCAGCTATCCGGCCATCCCGCCGGACACCCTCCTGCCCTCCTGCCACCCTGTCCCCATCCTTCCTTCCTCCATCCCTCCATATCCCTCCATCCCTGCAGACAGGACCCCCCTCCTTCCAGGCACCCACTCGGCCATCTCTCCCTGCATCCTCCCGACTCTCCCTTTGTCCACTTCCATGCTCCCTGCCCTCCTTCCTCCCAGCCCTTCCTTCATCTGCATTGCTCCAAGTCTCTCTTCATCCACCCATCTCCACCTCTCCATCCATCTCTCCATCCTCCCAACCCTCCCTCTATCTCCACCCTCCCAGTCCTTCCATCTCCATCCCTCCATCCCTTCACCTCCTGCTACTTCTCCATCCCCATCCTCCCATTCCTTCCTCTCTTCATCTCCCCATCCCTCCATCTCTCCAACCCTCCATCCTCCCATTCCTCCATCCGTCTCCCTCCATCCCCATTCCTCCATCCATCTCCCTCCATCTCTATCCCTCCATCCCCATCCCTCCCTCCGTCCCCCTCCGCGCCTCCCTCCCTGTCCCCTGCCCGCGCCGCGTGCCCCGGCCGGCCGCGCACGCACTGGAGAGGCGTCCCCAGCCGCTCAGGTAGCAGGGGTATTCGTCGGGCAGCACGTCGCCGGCGGGCGGCAGGCGCCCGCTCTGCACGCCGCGCTGCAGCACCGCGCCGCGCGACAGCTTCAGCAGCGCAATGTCGTTGCTGCAAGGCAGGGCAGGGCACGGCTCGGCACCGCGGGGACGTCTCCGGGGACACCGGGCCGTGTGCCGCCCCCGCGCTCACCCGCAGGCCACGCAGAAGCTACTCCACTTGGGGTGCACGAAGATGTCCTCGCTGCGCACGGGGATGCGCTGCTCCGTGCCCATGGGCACCGCCAGGTCGTGCGCGCCCAGCACCACCTCGTAGGTGAGCGAGGAGCTGCGGGGAGCGGGGACACGTCAGGGGCAGCGGGGACAACGTCGCTGTCGCGGGCGCTCTGTGCTTGGTGACATCAGGGTGGCAGGGGCTGCAGCCAGGTGCTGCTCCCCGTCACTGCGCCATGCACCCCGTCACCACCTTGTGCACCCTGTGACTGCACCGTGCACCCTGTCACTGCGCCATGCACCCCGTCACCACCTTGTGCACCCTGTGACTGCACCGTGCACCCCGTCACTGCGCCATGCACCCCGACACCACCTTGTGCACCCTGTGACTGCACCGTGCACCCCGTCACTGCACCATGCGCCCCGTCACCACCTTGTGCACCCTGCGACCTCACCATGCACCCCATCACTGCACCATGCGCCCCATCACCACCTTGTGCACCCTGCGACCACACCATGCACCCCGTCACTGCACCATGCGCCCCGTCACCACCTTGTGCACCCTGCGACCACACCATGCACCCCGTCACTGCACCATGCGCCCCGTCACCACCTTGTGCACCCTGCGACCTCACCATGCACCCCGTCACTGCACCATGCACCCCGTCCCCACCTTGTGCACCCTGCGACTGCACCGTGCACCCCATCACACACCATGCACCCCGTCACCACCTTGTGCACCCTGTGACCGCACCGGGCACCCTGTCGCTGCTCCATACACCCCGTCACTGCCTCCTGCACCCCAGTGCTCCCCCTGCACCCCATAACTACACCCTGCACCCTGCCACTTCGCTTTGCACCCCGTCATTGCAACCTGCACGCTGTCACAGCACTGAATGGCTGCATGTGGTCACTGCGCCCTACATGCTGGCACTGCGCCCTGCACCCCATCCCTGTCCCGCATCGCTGAACCCTTTTTCTACACCCTACATCCACACCCCAGTTCTTGCACCTTGTCCCTGCACCAGGTCCCTGCATCGCCACACYGTCCCTGTGACTTGCACCCCATAAGTGCCCCCAATTCCTGCACCCTGCACCCAGTCCCGGCACCCCACACCCTGTCCCTGCGC